GTTCTGTGAACCGAGTGTACAATGTTCAGCTTTTTGACCTTTCAGCTTTCTTTACAGCCTCAATTTCCCAATTTTTATTTAAACTTACCGACACTGCAAGGAGAAAAAAAAACGTTTAGCACCTCTTTTCCACAATAACAACAAAGCAAAATATCATCGTTAATTAGCCTCCATTAATGAAAAATTTATGATGTTCAACTTCGCTTTTCTCAACACAATATTAAATTATTTATGTTGTGAAAGCAAAATAATAACGACAAAAAAATTGTGGTTTTGCCCAAAAAACTTATTGTTATAGCAACAAAAATGAAAAAAAACCTACCTTAATTACCGGCTAAAATATGAAAAAGAATTGCTTAGTTTTTTTAGGTTTTTCAACTAAAGACAGAAAATAAGAAAGAAGAAAAAATTGAAAAAAAAAGGAAGAAGAAAGATGAAAGATGAATATTATTAAAACTACTATCTCTAATATGCTCTTCTATTTTCTCCTCCTCTCCCTCCCTCCCTTTTCATTGATATGTATATATATTTTATATCCTGTAAACACTAAGCGACGGAAACTTTGACAGGTGAAAATATGATGAATAAAGGCGACCTCATTTGGCATCAAAACAACAGCAACTACAACAACTCCATCATATCTATGGTTAATAATTGGTTTCTTAGCACCTTTTAGCAGGTGGAAATACCATAATGTACAGAAAAAAAAATTCTTCTTTTCTATGCTATTGAAGGGCAAACTGATGTGATGACCCGAACGTTACTTGAGCAGTTCAACAACACATATATGTATATATATGCATAAATATACGTGTTGAGATGATCTGCAATAACAACGGCAAACACCGGCTTTGGTGTTGGTCAAAAACCTTAACTAAACACAAAAATATTAACACCTCGTGGAACCTCTTATGCATTTTACCAATGTGTTCAATAGTTGACACCTCTTATAGAATATCCAAAAGACACATAACACACAACAATAATATTCTTATTCATCTTCTGTTCCTTTCTCTTCTCCTTCTCCTTCCCGTATCGTCATTGCTTAGTTCATTGTATTCGTTCCTCTTTTTTTTTCCATTGTCTATATAGCAGCTCATTTTTCCATTTTCTTCGTCTATTACTTTTTTTGTTTTCATTTTTCATCTATAATATGCAAAAACAACTCTGTGTAATCAAACTGTAAATAGTTGCATCTATGACACAGTCATAAATAAACAAATACAAATCTACAAACTATATAAATGTATGTATACAGATATACTCCTGTATTTTATATATTCAAGTTTCTTCAACCGTAAATAATTAATCATTTTACCAATAAAGCAATACATATTAACTGTAGAAAAGTCTCAGAAAAAAAAAATTACACTAATTTTCTTCTTTTTGCCAGAAATTTTTAGCAACAAAACTGCTTCTCTGAACGGAGCGAAGAGAGGAAAAAAAAAAAAAAACTAATTTTCGGTATTTGAAGCCAATAGTTGTTGGTCAGTTTCGTTGCAGCAAAGATACCAGTGGTAATAATGACGGTCCCCATTCCTTCTTTTCGCCAATTAACTGTTCAAAATAGGAAAAAGAAGAAACTGGAATCCTGTCACAGAACTTATGATTGAAAGTCATTTCAAAGTCATTACTTTTAAGTACCAAAAAATAGTTATGGATAATAAATCAAAGACAATTTTACTATTATCTGACAACTTTTTTTCTTATTTTTTACTTTATTTATTTATTTATTTTTTGTATTTTATTTTGTTCATCAGATTCTTTTTATGCTCCCCAAGTTGTAAGCACCGAGAAATAAATACAATAAATAAAAGAAAAAGATCAAAACTAAAACCATAGTAAAAACCAAATCAAATCAAACCAAAAAAAAAAAATAGCCCTTAATTTACATAATTTTTTCATTTTTTTCCATCTTTTTCCTTTTGCTTGTCCATTCAACATTTGTATAGACCAGGGAAAATCATTAAATATTTACCAGCTTCCTAACACTTATACTATCATTCATTCAACGCTAAATAAATACATCCAACTCATCAACAACTACAACTCCTAAATTTTAAACACAAAAAAATAATAATAGCAAAAAAAGTTGTGGGGAATTTCAAAAAAGTTTCAGCAAAAAAAAAAAAAAAAAGAGCAAAAGAGAGTGTAACCAATGCTAAAAATAATGCAAAAACATACTCTATTCTTTATCTCCTTCTTTTTATTTCTTTCTCAACAACAAAAAAAAAAGCTTTTTCAATAATATTTGTGATAATTTAAAAAAAAAAAAAAATCATTAATTTTTTTTTCTTTTACCTAACGCTAACGCTAAAATAACTATTTGTGCAAGCCGATTTTCCAGCAGTTTCTTTTATCATATTCTATTGCTTTAACAAATTGTCAAACAGTTGTCGTTGATCACTGCTGTAACGTAAACATCATTTATGTATCAAAAATTTTCAGCTATCAATACAACAGATTGATATACAGTATCTGTTCAACAATTTGTACTATCATCCATTTAAAACAACCACACATTTACACAGAAGTATCAGCTTTCTAAACTATGCGAAAAAGAGCAAAAATAAGAAAAAAAAAAAAAGGAAAAAATTTCTTTCATCTTTCCATCTAAAGCTATTTTTATGGTTAAATTTTGCTACAACTTTGGACAATTTTACCTCTTCTTCTTCACCATTGTCCACCACTTTAGTTAACCTGCAACTTTCTAATTGCCATATCTCATTGATACTGTTACTGCTGCTGTAGCTACTGCTACTGATGCCGATACTCGATGACAAAACTCACGTAAACAAAGACAGCAATAAAGAAAAGAATAAGAAAAAAACTTTTGAGGAGATAAAAAGGAAATCTGT